CCTGTAGTGCCTCACAGGCTGGTTAATATTCAGCGACAGTAGCAACCAAATGGCCCTGACTTATAGCATTTGTCCATTTCTATGGTGTAAATATTCCTATCATGGCTGATTTAAAACTACCAACATCAGTTCACTGGTTATAGCATTGGGAAGAAATGCACAGCAGTACCTTATTCTATGGCATTTTCTTTCTTTCTTTTTTTAAAAAAACATTTATTTAGCTTTTTTTTTTCTTTTTATCTGATGCTGGGGATCGAACCCAGTGTCTCACACTTGCTAGGCAAGTGCTCTATCACTGAGCCACAACCCCAGCCCTCATTCTATGGCATTTCTACCATACAGCTATAATAGATGTAAATAACCTTACTAGATAATAGTAAAATATTCAGAAATTGATGAGTTTTAATATACATTACCAGTTTTTAATATATTTTAATTGTAAATATATATATATTTTAATTTTGAATAATGGCTGTGCTTCACAACCAGTTCAAAAATTCCTGAGAATCATGCCCAAGTAGGGGCAGCCTCTGTTCAGGGGTGGTGCCTGACCCATCTTTCTTTCCTAACCAGCACCTTTGGCCATCCAGGACTGCAGGGCTTCTGGTAGCCTTATGTTAAAACTAGCACTCTGCCTTATATGACCACATGTGACAGGCAGTGTAAGATTGCAGCGACCTCCCTTTTTTTTTTCTTTTGGTATAGGGGATTGAACCCAGAGGCACTTTACCATTGAACTACACTACAGCCCTAGATCATTTTATTTCTTATTTTGAGGTAGGGTCTCCCTAAGTTTCTTAGGGCCTCACTAAGTTGCAGAGGCTGGCTTTGAACTTGCAGTCCTCCTGCCTCAGCCTCCTGAGTTCCTGGGATTCCAGGTATGCGCCATTGTGCCTGGCTATAGGTACTCCTGATTCCTAAACATTCTTGAATTTTTACCTCTGACCTCCACTCCTCACGTGAGCATGAAGTTGTCCAGGTGTTGCTGGTGTTTACACTCACCTTCTAGGAGGACCGAATTACCTTCTCCTTCCATGACTTTCTTAGCTACCACATATGTATCCTCAGCTCCTAGTTGTCTGCTTTTTTTTTTTAAAGAGAGAAAGAGAGAGAGAGAGAGAGAGAGAGAGAGAGAGAGAGAGAGAGAGAGAGAGAGAGAGTTTTAATATTTATTTTTTAGTTTTTGGTGGACACAACATCTTTGTTGGTATGTGGTGCTGAGGATCGAACCCAGGCCACACGCATGCCAGGCGAGCGCGCTACCACTTGTCCCACATCCCCAGCCCCGAGTCTGCTTTTTTTTTTTTTTTTTTTTTTTGAGGATTGATCAAGACTCTTTAAATACAGGATCACTTGTTCAGTACCCACTACCATCTGCAATAAATCCCTTAGCTACTCAGCATCTATTAGACCATACCTGCTTCCAGGAACAGGACCATCAACCCATCTCCCTGTTATCAAAGCCATACAGGACTCAAATCCACATGCAACACACAGCACTTCTCACCTTGGGCTTCCTCATTCCATTCCAATTTGTGCTGTTTCTTTACTTCTGGGCTCCAGCAGCCAGCACCTAAGAGGACTGGGTAGATCAGTTGGGGTCTCACAGGCATAAGCAGGCCTCCTCTTAGTTTAGCACACTAAGAGTGATAGGTCATCAACTTGGCATCGCCTGACTCTTCTGTTTCCCTCACTGTGAACCCAACTCATCTTCAACTGTCCTCTGTCCTCTGACCTGCTTAGATGCTGTTTTTTTTTTCAAGTTGTACACAATACTTTTATTTTGTCTATTTATTTTTATGTGGTGCTGAGGATCGAACCCAGGGCCTTGCACGTGCTAGATGAGTGCTCTACCACTGAACCACAACCCAAAACCTAGATGCTGTTTTTTTTTTTTTTTAATTTTTTTGTTGTAGTTGTAGATGGGCACAATATCTTTATTTTTATTTATATATTTTTATGTGATACTGAGGTTCGAACCCAGGGCCTCATACATGTGAGGCAAGTGCTTTACCACTGAGCTACAACTACTGCCCTTAGATGCTGTTTTAATCCTGCATCCTTGTGACCAAAAGAGACAACCTGGGGTGGAGAACCAAGCTGTAACTTAAGTGCTGTTGGACTTCCAAGGATGCCATGGCTAGATAAGGTCCCCAGTCTGCTGACACAGGTTCAGCCCAGGGAAACAGACATGGAAAACCACTTCTTACTTTCAGAGTGTACTTGAGCGGGGGTGGGGTTCAAGTTTTCCATCATGTAAAATCTATTTCACCTTTTGGAAGGAGATGGGAGAGGGTGACAGCAGATCAATATCTGTTTGTTTGCTCACAATCTATTATCAGGGCCAATGATTTTCCATACAAGGTTCCCTATCTCACGCACCTTTGACACACAGAATTTCTCTGCCTGATGACATGATCCTCCACAACCTTTTGAGGTTTGACTATTGCTCTCTGACTGGTTCCATAGATTAGCTCTTTAGACCACTTATTGGTTCCCAAGGCTTCGTTGCCTGGGAGTCTGTCTCAACTTCTCTCACTTCTAACTTTGGCTCTTAAGATCTTAGCATGAGAGGGCTGGACACAGCTCAGTGCTAGAATGCTTGTCTAGCATGTGCAAAGACCTGGGTTCAAGCCCCAGTAACTTAAAAAAAAATCTTAGCATAAATCAGAGTCCTAGGCACCTCCATCATCTGGAAGGACAGGGTGGTGGACAGGGTGTGTCAAGTTAGAAGTGCCTATCAGAAATGTTTGGTTCTTGCCAGGTGTAGGAGTATATGCCTGCCATCCCAGCTAATACGGAGGCTGAGTCAGGAGGATGGCCAAGTTCAAAGCCAGCCTGGGTAACTTAGTGAGACCCTTGTCTCAAAATAAAAAAATAAAAGGACTGGGTATGTAGCTTAGTGGTAGAATCCCACTGGGTTTAATCCCTACTATGTTGGGGGGGGGGCGATTCTTATGTCCACAAGGAAAAAATGAAGTTGGACATAAAGGTTTCATAGTTGCTGATGCATTGGAAGTAGTAGTATAGATGCCATGGGTGTGGACAAGGCTGCCCAGGTAGAATGGAGTGTCTAATGGAGGGATCCAAGAGCACCAGAGGAAAGGGTCAGGCAGGGGTATCTGCAATGAAGTCTGAGAAGAGCAGCTGGAGAGGCTGCGGTGAAACTAGGAGAGAGGGGCTCCATTAGAAACTTCTAAGGAGGGAGGGGGTCACTGTGTCATATGCAGTTGAGAAATCTAGCAAAATGAGGCCTGAATTAGATTTGACAACTGGGGACTCACTGGGGATCTCGGGAATAGTTTATTAGGTAGTAGGTAGCCTGGTGGGCGAAGAAGCAGGGGGAATCACATGTCCATTAAGTTTGGCAATTTAGAGAATTTTGGACATCAAAGAAGCATATCTTTGGGCTGGGATTGTGGCTCAGAGGTAGAGTGCTCACCTAGCATGGGTAGAACCCGGGTTCAATTCTCAGCACCACATAAAAAATAAAATAAAGACATTGTGTTGTGTCCATCTACAAAAAAAAAAAAAAAAAAAAAAAAAAAGATATACTCTCTCTCTCTCTCTCTAAAAAAAAAAAAAAGAAGAAGAAGAAGCATATCTGGGCTGGGGTTGTGACTCAGAGGTAGATCGCTCGCCTAGCACGTGTGAGGCACTGGGTTCGATCCTCAGCACCACATAAAAAATAAATAAATAAAGGTATTGTGTCCAACTACAATTAAAAAAAAAAGTTAAAAAAAAAAGCATTTCTGCCCATATTGCTCCCCACCCTGTTTCCACGCATGTTTCTTAGTCAAGAAATCCAAATAAGTTGCTAGTCTAGAGCTGGGGGTGTAGTTTAGTGGTAGAGTGTTTACCTAGCATGTGAGAGGCCTGAGAGTCCAACCCGGGTTTGTGAAAACACACACACACACACACAGTCTATATGTAGAGATCATTTTGGGATCTTAAAAACTACTGCAGAATTTTTTTTTGGTGGCGGGGCTTGTGTTCAGTGCTTTCTCACAGTTTACCTTTAGCTAATGAATTTGCAAGCTGGTAAATACTTGAATTGGTTCAACCTAACATAAACTTGGCTTTTTAATGGTCCAACTGGCAACTGGCTGGAGTGCGCAGCAGCCACAGCTTCACTTGACTCTCTGTTGAACTCTCTCCTTCCGGCCATTGCCTCTGGGTCCCTGGTTTTCCTTAGGCTGGGCCAGCCTCACTTATTTGTTAGTCTCTTTTTCTTCAGAAGCCTCTTTTTCCTCAGAGGCTTAATTATCAAACAAAACATTTATGGCATACATTTATACCATGCTTCCATATTTATCTCAAAACACCGACCAATGGCTTGGCCCTGTTGTACACCTGTAATCCCGGCAGCACCGGAGGCTGGCAATTTTGAGGCCAGTCTCCCCAAGTCAGTGAGGCTCTAAGCAACTTAGTAGGACCTTGTCTCGAAAAACAAAAAACAAAACAAAATAAGAAACTAGGAATTTGTCCCAGTGGTTAAACTCTCCTAAGTACACCGCCCCTAGGCTCAATCCCCAGAACAAAAAAAAACCCCAAAAAACAAAAAACAAAAAAACTTCCATCGTTTGCATCTCTGAACACCTTCAAGTACATCCCAATTAAGCCAAATGCTGTGGGACGCCTGTAGTCCCAGCTACTTGGGAAGCTGAGGGGAGAGGATCACTTGAGTTCATGAGTTCAGGACCAGCCTGGGCAACAATAGAGCAAGATCCCGTCTAGAAAAAGAAAAAAAAGAAAGAAAAAAGAAAATTAAAAAGGAATACCTCAATTATCAGACGGGAAAGACAGTGGTAAGGCACGTGCGTCACCTGCCGACTCTCCAGAGCACTGCAGCCGCTTGGGTGCGCAGCCGCTCCTAGCCCGGCGGCCTTGTGGGAAAAATAGTAGGATGTTTGAATTAGAACTACAAATCCCGGTAGGCTTCGCGCTGCAGTCCCAAAGATGGCACTTTTCTGGTGAACCTGGATTTTGTTTTCCAGTGCTGTTGGGGTAGCTGCACAAGCTTGGTTCAATGTTAAAAAGAGTCTTTTGGGAAACATGCTAGCTCTCTCGCAGGGGTGCAAAGGCCAACCTTTGCTTCCACAGCTTCATCCATTTGGCGAATCTGCTGTTCTTTTCGCTGGCTGGCTTCTCAGGGGCCGGACGGGAAGTTTGTGGAATCTGCTGTGGAAAGAACGACACGAGGGTTTCTTAGGCAGCCACGGTCATGGCGGCGGCCTCCCCTAAGGCCGGGGCCTCCGTGCCTGAGGCTCGGGGTTCCGCTGAAGCCCCACTGCAGTACAGCCTTCTTCTGCAATACCTGGTGGGTGACAAGCGTCAACCCCGGCTCCTGGAGCCTGGGAGCCTGGGCGGAATCCCGAGTCCGGCCAAGAGTGAGGAGCAGAAGATGATCGAGAGGGCGATGGAAAGCTGCGCCTTCAAGGCAGCGCTGGCCTGCGTGGGAGGTGAGACGAGGCTCTTGGGGGCTCTCGGGAGGCTGAGGGCTCGGAGAGCCTTGGGATTCTCGGCCAAGAAGACCACACGCCTAGGAGGCGAGCGACCTGTGCGCCTCGACCCTGACTGCACCCCCGCCTGGTTCAGTGAACTCGGGTATTTCCTCGCCTGACCCTGAGGTTAGCTTTCGCCGGTGGAAATTGAGTCCGAGAATCAGTACTATGGGCAGGGCCTGCAGGTTATAAAATGCTCCACTTCGTTCATTCATTTAATCATTCAACAAGTTACCAAGCAACTGTCATGTGCCGACTGTCACGAGCTGCCGCGTGCGCGGGGAGCAGGGAGGGAAGATGGCTTTTTTTTTTAAGGTATTTATTTTTTAGTTGTAGTTGAACACAGTACCTTTATTTCTCTTATTTATTTTTATGTGGTGCTGAGGATCGAACCCATTTCTCGCACTTGCAATGCTACCGCTCTACCGCTGAGCCACAACCCCAGCCCAAGGGAAGGTGGCTTTTTAAGAAAAAAATTGACCTTCTGAGTATTTGAACATGTACAGCATACCTCCTGTGTGCTGGTAAAGAGGTTGGTTGCATATTTGCAGAAGAGTTTGAATCTTACTGGGAACAAAAGACATTTAAGAAATGAGTAGTGGGCGAGTGCAAATTTTAAAAAGTGAAATATATTAGAAAGAAAAGAGATCTTTTTGGAGCTGGGACCACTTGAAAGAAAGAGCCATAAGCTGGGCTGGGGTTGTAGCTCAGTGGTTGAGCGCTTGCCTAGCAGGAGTGAGGCACTGGGTTCCATGCTCAGCACCACATAAAAATAAATAATTAAAGGTATTTTAAAAAAGAGCCATAGCAGGAAATCTGGGAGGGGAGGAGCCCATGATTTCTTTGAACTTACATTGATTCTGAGGTGGTGAAAACACTCTGTATGGAAGTGTCCTGCAGCTCAGGAAGGTTGCATAGGAACAGCATTTTGGGGATCAGCTGTTTGGTAGCTATGTGGTCTTGGGAAAACTTCTTAACTTCTTGAGAGTGGCAGAATCATGAGCAATGTTAGGAAATGAAAGGAGGCAGAAATGCTAAAGGAGACAGAAGATAGATCCTGAATTGTGTAATATGGAGGCAAGTGGAGAGTGTTAGTGACTAGTGCACTAGTGGCCATGGAAAAAGTCATCTTTTTGATCCCAAACAGTAACCCCGAAAACATACCCAAGAAATCTTCATCTCTGTTTTTAGGATTTGTCTTGGGAGGTGCATTTGGAGTTTTTACTGCTGGCATTGATACCAACGTAGGCTTTGACCCTAAGGATCCTTACCGTACACCGACTGCAAAAGAAGTTCTCAAAGACATGGGACAGAGAGGATTATCCTATGCCAAAAATTTTGCCATTGTGGGTGCCATGTTTTCCTGTACTGAGTGTCTGGTAGAATCTGTAAGTGTCTCTCTGCTTTCTGAGAAATCCTTACCAGCTGCTATCTCACAAGTGATCTGTCACTGAGTTACATTCCCCAGCCCAGTTAATGATTTTGAACATTTTAATTTATTGGACCTGGGTATGGTGGTGCATGCTTGTAATGTAATCCCAGCTACCCTGGAGGCTGAGGCAGGTGGAACACAAGTTCAAGACCAGCCTGGGTAATTTAGTGAGACCCTGTCTCAAAATAAAACATAAAAAGGGCCAGGGGTCTAGCCCAGTGCTGGAGTGCCTCTGGGTTTGATCCCCAGTGCCCTCTTCCCTCACCCCCGCCACACAAAGACATTTTGGAGAACCTGAAAAAAATTTTGATTACTTCTCAAATACTGGACTTGATTACAGTGCTCTAGTGCCACCTGCAGGAAGCATCTATGGATACATTTAAATTTTAGAAACTATACTTTTTAAAAAGATTAGGTTTCCTTTGGATAGTAACTAAATTAGCCAACTGGAAGTCCTGTGTATTTTCTGGCTTGTTTCTCTGGCTTGACCTGCGCTTCTGCCCCCACAGTACCGGGGCAGATCAGATTGGAAGAACAGTGTCATCAGTGGCTGCATCACTGGAGGAGCCATTGGTTTCAGAGGTTAGTAAACAACTCTCAAATGGTTTTTCTTTGTGGCCTTGGCCAACGTGCTGATGTTGACATTTCCAAGTATGAGTGTTCCAGGGACACTTGATATTCTTCTGACAAATAGATCTTGACTGCTTCTGTGTTAACCCAGTTTTGGAACTTGCTATTATCTCTATCAGGGTTTCTCACCCTTGGCCTTTGGACCAATAAATCTTTGCTGTGACTGGGGGGTCAATCCTGTTCATTGTAGGATGTTTAGCAAGATGCAGCAGCACCGCTTCAGTTGTGACAATGACAAGTGTTTCCCAATGATGCCAAAAGTCCCTTGGGGGGCACATCACCCTCACTAAGAACCACTGATCCAGTCTATCTTAGAAAAAGAACTGCCCCCTTATTAAGTATATTCAGCAACTTTCTCATATAGGTAAGTTGGAGTTTTTTGGTTTGCAGGATAGTACAGAAGCATAGCTAAGTCCACTCAGCCCTGGAAAACCCATTTGTCCACATGTGTAGAACTTTTAGCTCCAGTCATTTTTAATGTTTACCCATTATTCTTAATTTTAGACAGTTGTCAGTTGTATTTTTGTTTTGTTTTGTTTTGTTTTGCAGTTCTGGGGAACAAACCCAGAGCCTTGCTAAGCGTGTACTCTTCCAATGAGGTATTTTCCTAGTCCCAATTATCAGTTTTAATTTTATATCTAAATAATAATGGTAATGTTGTTCTGCAATTGAGGATTCTTAGAATTCTTCCCATTGAAAGCTAAATATAAACATTCTAGAAATGTTAGATTATCAACTGTAAGCAACAAAGGAACAAACTGATCCCCACCATTTCTCTCTGTTAGCATGCTCATCGAGTGTGTGGTGCAGACCTCAGGGACTTGAGTTTCCTAGAAGCAGTATCTATTGCTGGGCCACTCTCCATCATTCACACCCTGACTTATCTGGAGCAAAAGCCTCTCATCTTCTGAGAGTCGGGATGATTTGCTGTCATTAAAGTCTGAGTTTGCTCTTCACATAGCCATATGTAATTTATAGAGTGACTTTTCTTTTGGTCTTTTTGTTGCTTAGCTTGTCAGGGCCTCTGTGATAAGCTTAACTCCCTCCAGGACTGCTTTGATCACCTTCCCAGGAATTTATTCCATAAACAGATAGGGTAAAAGGCCATATGCTTTCATTTGATTCCAAGGACTGGTTCTTTTAACCAGTTTCCTGCCTGTGAGGGGCTATTTCCATAAGACTAGAAGTAGTAATTCTTTGGAATGAGAAAAGTTAAGTTAAATAAAACACAAAGACTTAAATCTTTTTTGGTACCAGGGATTAAACCTAGGGGCACTTAACCACTAAGCCAATTTCCCAGACAATTTTTTTTGTATTTTATTGAGAGACAAGGTCTTCTAAGTCGTTTAGGGCCTTACTAAGTTGCTGAGGCTGGCTTTGAACTCTAGATCCTTCTGCTTCAGCCTCCTAAACCGCTGGGATTATAAACATGAGCCACCTAGCCTGGCTGGTGTACATCTTATACGCTTCTTCACTGAAATTTTTTTTTAATTCTTTTTTATAAGTTGTAGATGGACACAATGCCTTTATTTATTTATTTTAAAAATATTTTTTAAGTTGTTGATAGACCTTTTTATTTTATTTATTTATATGTGGTGCTGAGAATCGAACCTAGCACCTCACACATACCAGGCAAGTGCTCTACCGCCGAGCCACAACCCCAACCCTTCACTGAAGTTTTATAGAGCCACTGTAGGTTGAATGAGAATACTTAAGCTGGTTTCTTTGCATCTGTGGGTATACAAACTTTTTGTGAATGCATCCTGATCCAGCATCTGTTACCACAGGTAAGGTAATATTACTTCTGTTTGCTTTACAGCTGGCTTAAAGGCTGGGACCATTGGTTGTGGAGGTTTTGCTGCTTTCTCTGCTGCAATTGATTATTACCTAAGGTGAGAGTAATTGCCTGTGGGGAAGGAGGACGCCATCCCAGGATCAAAGCTGGTTTTCCGGAGGAGAGTTCCTGTACCACTTGGCACTTGCTTCAGGGGCTGAAGACATTTGTTTTCCTTCATATAGTTGGTGTTTTGAGGGAGCCTCCTGGCTGCTCTCTGTCTCCAGCAGTCAGAGCAACCACACTCTGTGCCACTCCTGGATTCCAGCCAGCCTTTTCAGGGATGGCTATGCCAGATTGTCTCCTTGGAGCCTTCAGGAGACATTGTGTTGACTGTTAGGAATTAAACTCCACAAAGGCTCAGTCCTAACCACATCCTGCCCTCTGGGTTATGGGCACGGAGGTGGCAGTATGTTCATATGTACCCAGGAAGCTCCTCTGCCTTGAAACACCGTGCAAGCATCCATCTCGCATGCCAGGGCAGGGCAGAGTAAATTCATGCCATCCAACCAATTATGTCATTTTGTTTTGTTTAGTGTTCTGCCATTCTTGTTAAAAGTATATATTTATTTATATTTATATTATAGTTTAAAGGTTGGTTTATTTTTATTTTCAAATTCCACAGTTCTCAAAAATGATGGCAGGCAGTTCAAAGAGTGACAATCCAGTGGGAAAGTGTGACAAATCTCCTGAAAAATCTAGGACTGTTAGATTTTCAGGGTTTGTGTGGACTGTGTCATCTCCACCAGGATCATTAGTTTGGCCAGAAAGCAGCCCTCTCTCCAGGAGCCTAGTCTAGCTGCTTTCTAAGATGCACTGAAATTCCTTGTGTGACTCCCTCTGGCCTCTTCACAGAAACCCTCCAGGGCTGGCTGATAGGCATGCCTGCAGTTTGCTGAACCACATGTTGGTTTCAGGCCCAAGCCCAGCTCCAGGACACATGTGGAGGCTACTACTGTGGTCATCCTGATGACTCAGTCACAGCAGCTACTGGCTAAGGTCAGACATGGTAGAAGGGCTACTCACTGCCACCCCTGTTCTCCACTATCAGTGGATATTTTGATTTTGACTTCATGATCTTTGCTGACAGTAGCAACCCAGCCTCATTGTGTGCTGTAGAGGCACACACATACACACAAATGTTTAAGTGGTCTTTTGTGGTTGGCCTCCACTGCTGTGCTGTTTTGCTCTGGTGCAGTGGTGGAGTAGAGCCGATGAACTCTTGGGCTTTACCTCTTGGAGGAACAGGCAGGTAGGCTCAGTGGGGGCCACATAGTGCTGGCTGCCTTTCTCCTGTACTGTAGCTCCTCCACATTTTCCCCCTTTTTCTTTCTCATTTGCTGTCTTTTATCCTATCCACCCTTAACTAGAATCAGAGACTCGGCTTCAACATCTAAGCATCCCCGATATGTATTTGTGTCATGTCAAAGGATAGCTGGTGACACCTTCCTTTAGCTGTTTCCTTTCTTTTTTTTTTTTTTTTTTTTTTTAAAAGAGAGAGTGAGAGAGGAGAGAGAGAAAGAATTTTTAATATTTATTTTTTAGTTCTCTGCGGACACAACATCTTTGTTGGTATGTGGTGCTGAGGATCAAACCTGGGCTGCACGCATGCCAGGCGAGCGCGCTACCGCTTGAGCCACATCCCCAGCCCTAGCTGTTTCCTTTCAATGAATGTGAGCTAGTACACAGGGCTCCTGTCCTCTGTGGTGAATTCTACATGATACTTGCCCCCTTCTTATAAGCATGAAGCTATATCATCACTAGGCTGTTGGGAGCATTCCTCAGAGCTCTGGGAACAAATTTAGGAATCCCTGGGTTCAATCCCCAGCACCAAAAACAAAACAAAATAAAAAACAAATTTAGGAGTGTTTCCTGTACTGTCCCTAAATATTTCAAACCTAGGACTACTCTGAAGTAAGGGCAGTCAGTCAGTCCTACTGGTACCTGTCAAAATGCTCAGATGCCTGGGATCTTCTACCAGCTAGTCTTGTGCATGGGATTGAGTACAAGAAATGCTGCCCTCCCAATTGACTTGGCAAAGATGAGCCTGGAGGATGTCAGTAGCCATCAGTTCAATAAGCCAAGCCTTGTCCACACTGACTATTCAATCAAGAGAGGAGATGAATAGCTTCCTGTTTTAGATGACTAGGGAGCCAGTATGAGCTCATAAACCAAACAGCAATTTTCAGAGACATCTGTTCTTGATCTCCAGAATAAACACAGTATCCAAGGGCATAAGCTGGTGGGAGCTTACATTAACCAAAGGAGGGTGGGCCCTCTGGGGGATACAGCTTCTCCAACAAGCAGATTAGACCAAAAGACTGACCCAAAGACATGCCACTTCCAAGGAAACTGCAGAGAAAAATTACCGAAAACCAGTGGACAACTAATGGTCATCTCTGAGGTACACTGATGGCCAGGTCAGTGGTTAAACATTTGTACCTCATGTAGAGGACTGCAGCAGCCTGGTCCAAAGGGAGGTCTTTGTGTCGAGCAAAGAGAGGACTGGTTTATTGCCCCCACACTCTGTCCTGGCTCCCAAAAGGAAGGTTCAAGGACAGATAGCTAGGTAAACAGGTTCCTAGAAATTCACATCTGGATGCAGCTGGAAGTGTTAAATATTTAGATTGGTGGTCTTTCCTGGACTACTGAGAACACAAACATCCATACCACAGGGCTAAGTTTTGTGCAAATGTTGGGGCTTTGCATTTTTTTATTAACATTTTCCTTTCACATGGTTTACATCAATTTATAATAATCTACATAAATTGAAACAGAACAGAGACAAAAAAATATATCCTTACCAACTTATTAAAGTCAAATATTAATGAAGGGTCCCATCCTACCTCTATCAGCAAAACTGGCAGCCCTCACCCATTGCCCAGCAAGGACAGGCATGCCTGGGACTCCTGTAGCCTGTCCCTTCAAGTCCTGTTGGCACAGGCTGCCGTGCTAAGTACAGTGACTGGGGGTTCTGGGCTGCAGTCCCTGGCTCAGGAGAACCCACCAGGTATTTATTTCCTCGGTGCAGCTTAGTCCATGTCTGGCACCCAACCCTCCCCACTCAGTGGAATTTATAAATATTATAAGCCTTTTGCATTTCTCAGCTCTTCCAGCCTTCCTGTTCTCATATTGCCTAAGCAAGCTGGGGGCTGCAGTAGCTGTCTGACACTGAAAAGCAAACATTTTGGGGAGGCAGGAGACACCCATTTGGGCTGTAATTAGCTCTAGCCGGGCCTCTAATTTGTTATTGACAATCTTCTGGAAGCAAGAATCTTCCATACCACATACCAACAAGTGCCAAGCGGAGACTTCAGGAATGGTCAGATGGTGGGATCTTTTCCTTCACCTGCCCCAGGGAGCAGGGCTCCTTGCTAAGCTGCTAACAGGCAGCTGAGTGGTCAGCATTTCCCTATTCCAGCGTGCAGAGTATACTGTTCCACTGGCGACAGGTATAAACTAGATCAGGAAGGCTCCTGCCTCTCTCCAAGCAAGTACTTCTGCTTCAGGGCCAACAAGCCCTTTAGACTTACCCCTGAGCACGAGCAGTGGGAGCTGTTTTCCCTAATCCTAAGGGCCTAGAATGGACTCTGGCACATAGAAAAGCCAGGGAGTTGTGCAAAGGTTCAAGCCCCTTTTGCTGGCACTTTGGGAATAAATATTACTCCTTTCCAGTACTGAGCAATGGGTCTCAAAGTTGGGAATGGCACCTCTTGATCCCCTGCGTCAACAATGAGGTCCCCCAGCAAAACCCAGTCCCAAGAGAGGCAGGTGCCTGTGATTCTTCATCCTCTAATTTCTGGGAGTTTCCAGAGTTCATCCACAAAGCTGCATCTAGAAGCTGGGGCAGGGGCAGCACCGTGATGGCTGGCAACTGCTGGATTGTGCCTTCCTTTCCCAGGGTCTGGAGCGCACGTGGCAGTTGGGGCTGCCCCGTGGCAGTGCTCGGCTGTGAAGAGTGTAAAATCTAAGGCAAAAGTACCACGAGGTATGTGAGGTGTCAGGCAGCCTCCGAGATGGAGCCTGCATGCTTCTGGACACCTGCACCAGCCACAGAAGTTGCCCTCCAGGAAGCCTGGCTCCATCAGGAAAGCCTCTGTAACTCACACCAAGTGCAGCTTCCCCGAAACTCAGGACAGTGCTGACTGTTCCACCCGGCTTGTTTCCTCAGCAGCCTGGACTCTCCTACCTCCCCGGATGCCTTCCTGACCCTCTGGCTCTCTTGATAGCAGGTCACTTGTGGGTCTTTACACTCAAAGGAAATAGAACTCCAGGGGGAAAAAACTGAAAATTCAGCAGTAGAAGAAACAGTCAAAGATGCCTCACTGCTAGGCAGGAGACAGAGCGGACAAACCCCAGAAATCAGCCCTCCAGCTCTGTGCTAAAGCGTGGGATTAGTGTGAGTCTGTCTCCTTGTCCAACATTTGCACAGGCAGCAAGGCAAGCAGGTGTGTTCCCACAGTGGAGGGTGGGGAGAGGCCCAGGGCAGTGCATTGGATAGGCCACCACTGCTGCCCAGGACCTCTGCAGAACTTTCCAGGTGTTTGGAGCAAAAACTGAAGCTGCACATGCATGCGGCTGGGCTGGGACGGAGGCAAGGGTGGAGGACACTGAGGGGAGGCTGCAGTCTAGGAGCAGGGCCAAGAAAAGAGAAGCTGGTGGCAGCTACACAGTGCCAAATAAAAGCCCTTGGACTGGACTCAGGAGGAAAGAAAGGCTTGGGGGAAATGAAAGAATAAAGCAGGCTGTGTGCCCACACATGGTCGGTCACTACCTTTTCTGCATAACAGATAGACATTAAACAATTCCCAAACAGCACGGAGCATTAGACACAACTAGAGGTACAGAGGGCAGGAGCCGGGGTGTGGCGGTGAGGCTGGGGGCTGGTCAGCTGGCTTTGTACAAGGTGGCACAAAAGATGCACATATTCCAGTTCTTGGAAGTTGGCTTCCCTTGGAGTCTGGAGTGCTGGGCTGGGGAGTTTCTATTGCAGTCTTTCAAGTCTGTGTTGGGCTCTGGCTGGAGGGGCCGGCACTGGCCATCCCCCACAGCCACCCCTCCTCGGGCTACACATCAGTGGAAAAGTACAGTGTGTTCCGCTTCAGTTCTGCAAAGGAGATGGGGGGGTGCTGCAGGTAGTAGAGGAGGACCTGCACCTGTGGGGAGACAGGAGAGACTGAGGTTGGAGTCCTTGTCTTCCTGGCCCTCCTCATCTGATCTGTTGAGAAGAAAAGGTCCCTGGGCGCGCGGAGGTGCGGGGGCAAGTCTGTGTTGTCCCCTGCCCTCCCAAGGATGGCTTTGGCCACCTCCTAGAAGCCACACCTTCCTTTGAAGCCCAGGTGTGTTAGTCCATTATAGCACTAGAGGGCGCTGCAGGACAGAGGGTGGGGAGTCTAGAGCCATTTCCCCAACCTCAGTCATAAGGTCAAACCTGGACCTGAGGTCAGCTTGGCATCTCTGCCCTGATCTTGTCTGTGTCTCAGGGAAGCCTCCTGCCCCTGATAGAAATCCCAGGATTCTCCTATATTCCTGGGCTTGTTTTCTGAGACTGAGGCCCTCTCAGGAAAGCAGGCAGCACCTAGGACAGACATTCTCTGGGCCCTTGTCTAGCTCACATGTTTTGGCCTGGGAAGGGCAAGACTGTCCACAGCCCTGCCTTCCTTGTGGCGTCCTATACACCAGCTGCCAGCTGCCCAGGAGGAGAGAGGTGTGGAGACTTAGCTGTTTTCGCTACCCCTCCACCTGGGCAGTGCTGAGATACCTGTGCCATGACATCATGGGACCAGATGTCTGCAGCCGATGTGAGATGTGCTTTGCTCTCCACTTCTGAGGGTCTCAGTAACGTGGGGCCAAACACGGTGGCCAGGTTGTGAAGCGACATTTTGTTAATGGGCTCCTTCTCAGCAACCCTGAAAGGAAGTGCAGGGAGAACAGAATTCACTTCCCGGCGGCTACTTGGAGATGTAGGGCCCTTGGCCTTAAGCTCCAGGAACTCCTGGAAGGAGTGCTGGAGGACCTCTTGCCTCCCTCTTTTTAGAGTAGAGACCTGCTGGTGGTAATGCACTAAGCCAAAGGATCAGTGCCCAGCTATGTCTCCGTATATTGCTGTGACAGATTCCCAGCTTCTAGGCCATCGCTGACCTGATGGTAAACTGCCAGGGCCAGAAAGACTCACAGCCATCTACTCCAACTCCCCTGCCTTAGAGAAAATGTTACTGATCTAAGAACTTCCCCTGCAATAGCACATACTTGCTATGGTGCTTTGAGGTGGGTACTATTATTATTGTCATTCCCATTATAGAGATGAAGAAACTGAAATACAGAAAGGTTAAGTGACTTGTCCACAGTCACATACCTAGCAAGTGCGGACAGCTGGGATCTAAATCGGGGCAGTCTGCCCAAGAACCCATGCTCTCAACCATTCTGCTCTTTACCCGTGATCCAACAGTCTAGCTGTGGGGACTGGCTGCAGGAAGAGTCAGTGGGAGGAGCAGGGGGCAAGGTGGGGAGGGCCTGCAGCTAATTAGCTGGTAATCAGACCTAGGTTCTTTCTGCTGTGCTGGGGCAAAAGCAGCCCTAACTCCAGTAGGAGCCCAGGGCCCTCCTCCCTGCTGCTCTAGGGACCTCAGGGCTGCCTCCCTTTGGATCTCTCCTGCTTCTCTTGCATAATAGGCCAGATGCTGTAGATCTTCCCTTGGATGCCATCAGGAGTTGCCATCTGTGCCCGGTGTCCAAGAAAGCCTAATATCACCAAACACACCGAGAAGTGCTGGGCCTCCACTGTTCTAGGAAGTGTTTCTGGGGTTGAGACAGACCAACCCCAGACAATGTCCCTCACTGCCTCCCTCTGACACCATATAGTTCCCACCCTCTGGGCAGGAGCCACAGATGTGCCTGTTGTTTTGGAAACAGGCAAACATTGCAATGCTAGCAGACAACTGTGCAGCAGGCAGTGCTCCATGTGCGCACGCGCGTGCACACCCCCAACCCCCCCCCCACACACACACACACAGAGCCAGAGGCCCAGATGTGGGAACAGACTGTGCCCGATTCCCAGGGCAAAAAACCTAATGAATTTTCCCCTCCTACTCCTCCTCTGTGCATCCTCCCCACAACACTCGTCAAACTATTTGGGAATTGGTTGAGGTTTTGGTTCTGGCCAAACCAGAGGGAAAATGTCTCATAATGGGAAAAACAAGACACCAGCCCCAGGCACATCCAGGTCTCCCTCCCTCCAGAGCCTGGCCTGGCTGCACTGCAACAGGCGCCTGGGCCTGAGGATGGGAAAGCTCAGGGGGCGAGGGTGCTGGTCCACAGAGAGGCCCTCTCAGGGCTCCCTGGTCGTGGCTGGCAAGTTGATTTAAAAGACACCTAAAGTACTTTAAACTACTATGTATAGCTATAAAGCTCTAACAACAAATAAACAAAAAAATTTAGAAGGGCTGGAGATGTGACTCAGTGGTTTAGCATGCTTAAATTCAAGCCCCAGTACCCTACTACCACCAAAAAAAAGGGACACCTAGTGACATCTCTTCCTCACCCATGCCTGAATTAATCCTGGGCTCAAAAGTAATTCAAGTGATTCAAGGACACTTTATGGCTAACTTCTAATCCTGAACCCTGAGGCAGCACCAGCTTGGTTTGCCCTAACCAGGGAAGTTGAGAAGGGACTTAGTTTAGGAAAATGTAGGTGCTAGGCACAGATCTGTAGCTAACCTAAGCAAGTCCCTGTGGGCTTGGGGAATCGCTTTCCTTATCTATTAAATGAGGCATCAGTGGAGACCAGTGGGTTTCAAACTCGACCGACTCAAAAAAACATATTTTATGATGCAACCCAGTATACACACATCTATAGTAACTGAACAAAATGGCACTTACACTTCCTGCTGCAGTGTGCCCTGATGCTGCCCTTTCTATTCACTTAAAAAATGCTAAAACTAACTGTCAGGTTGGGGCCCATTAATTGTAAAATTCTCCCACAGCCCACAGCTCTAGTCTTACCATTCTGAGCACTTCATGGCCAGTGCCTGAGGCCTTTGTTAGGACCCACATATTTCCCAAAACAAGCTGGGTGTGCAGGAAGTTGAAAAGCAAACTCTCGCACATGGCCTAATAGAAGCCAGTACCCACTAGGAGATGCTGAGAAGGTGGGGTCCCCTAGTGGGACATGTGGGGCTGCCCTGGGTCTCTGGCCCTTCCCTTGGTAGGCCGGTCTCATTACCTTTTCAAGTGTTCCAGCAGGAAGAGGAAGGTGATGAGATTGGGGTCGGGCAGGGAGCGGAGCAGGTGCATCATGCAGTTCTCCTTGGCGGCAGGGTCTGACAGGGCTGTGGGGAAAGAGGGGCTAGAGCAGGGCTTGGTTCCTAGAGAACCCTTGGCCAGAGCTCCTGTGGCCACCAGGCTGTGAGGCCCGGGTAAATCCAGGCTGCTGGTGTTCAGGGGAGCAGATCCCATAGGGTAGGCCTGGCATCTGGGTGGTCTGTTAGCAGCAGGTTCCTCCAGGAGGCCCTCCCATGACTAGTGACTAGGCCAGAAGGCAGGCTGGTGAGAGCAGTCCCCTTCCATCCCTCCTACACAGATCTTTGTCCCCAGTGCCACTCCACTCCCAGTCTATATGCTAGGTTCAAGCCAATGGTGGCAGTTCTGCCAGGGGTGGGGATGTTCTGTTAACCACCTCTCCCCCAGGGGTCCTCACCCCCCAGGGGCCAACACCCTGCCTGCCCCAGGAGAAGGAAAAGCAGGGAGGATGCACCAAGCCTGGATCTGGCCCAAGCAGGTGGAGGCAAGAGCCTTGCCCTCAGCAGAGGCGAGGAGAGAGCAGCCCTGGAAAGCACAGCACAAACTGTCCCCAGCGCCTTCTGGCTCACACCAGCCTCCTCCTTGGCTCCAGGTTGCTGGCTTCTGACTGCTCACCTCAGGGCAGTCTTCCCTAGATATCTCTGGTTCCAAGCAAGCAGGTCAGTGTGCAAAGAGGACAAATGGAGGGCTGCCCATGGGGACATGAGGGAAGAGAGGCAGGCCAGAAAGGCCCCAGCCTCTGCACCAGGCCCAGCAGCCATATAGCAGCTGGTGCAATGGACAGGCCAACGAGCAAGGGAGGCCACAGCCCCTTGCTCTTTACTTCACTGGTCAGGAAGGCCTGGCTCAGCCCAGTTCAGCTTCAAGACCCAGGAGCCTCACCGATGCCTTCCATAAAGGCTGGGTAAAGTCGGTCTGTGAGGAGAGGCTCAGGCAGTTCCCGGAAATACAGCTTGAGGGTGCCAGCAATGGCATTGATGTCCATGTCACTCAGCATTAACAGGATGTCCTTGTTATCTATAGGGAAGGGGGAAAGGTCAGGGACTGGCCTCCAAGTCATCCCTCTCCCCCACATCCAGCCTTTAGCCCTTTCCAGCCCCACAGGGACTGCCCAAGGCAGACCACCACCCACTTCTCTGCCTCTGCCTTCCCCCAGAAAGGTAGGACATAGGTAGTACCCACAGGATCTGTGAGCAAGCTCTGTTGACTGGGGTGGGGGAGACAGAGAGACAGGCTGGGTTCTGTCTGCCATGGCTTCCCAGGAAAGGAGGGGAGGGAGAATAACTTATCATCCAGAGTCCTAGAGCCATAATCATACCATGTAGCAGGCAGCCTCCTTCCCAACTGGAATCCCCCCCTGCCCCCCTGCCATTGATCTCTTCTGTGGAAGGCACTTCACATTTTTCACACCTAAAATCATGTTCTGACAAAATCTCAGCTTCTAGGTTGTACAGGGGAGCCATGTGCCAGAACGTTCCTGACCTGGATCCTATCTTCTGCCCCAGGCTTCCCCCATGGGCCCCTCTCCACCTGGACTCATGGCTGCTGGTCCAGTTTAGGCTTTTTGAACACTGGGTATGGTGACGCAGCTGTAGCCTGACCCAGCTGAATAGGGAAAGCAGAGGGCCAAACCCCACCCATACCACCAAGGGGCTCATGCAGAGGCAGAACTGCCCCACAGGACACCAGGGCCTGGAGACATGAGGGAGGCCAGCTCAGGCCATGGCTCTGTGATCTCCCTGTAGCCCACTAGGCACTAGGCAACAAGCACAGAAGCCAGGAACAGAGTCTGGAGTCCAAAACTCTAAGTTTAAACCCAGGCAGGAAACCTACAGGCCGGTAACCCTGAGCAAGTGACTTGGCTTCTCTGAGATCTGTCCATGTTCTTATCTGTAGCAGTGGATATGAGACTGAGAAAATGCAGATTACATGAGAAAAAGCAGAAGCAGGCTGGCCACAAGGCCACAAGGACTCAGAGACAGCCTGCGCTGTGCCATGGTGGACTGTGTGCACGTCACAGACCAAGGCTGCCCTGCCATCAGGTCCAGACCCCTCCATGCAGAAGGCCTCCTGTCTAGTGAACCTTCCTACCCACCGCAACAGCTGGGCCTCCCAGACTCACTGGCATCAAAGACAGCTTTCAGTGCCTGGATGTCCGTGGCCACTCCTGATATCCGGTAGATGCCAACCTCCTCGATGCCCCTCTTCTCCACCTCTTCCACACACTGCCGCACGATGTAGGGCACCTTGGAGCGCTCCCGCCTGCGGGCAGAGGATGCAAAGGGAGGATGGAAGGAGCCTCCTAGTGCCAACTGCACCGTCCCACCTGCCCCAGCATACCTTGGCTGCTAGGATGAGGGCTGGAGGGAAGGAAAGGGTTAAGGAAGAGGCCGTGCCACCCCACCCTACACAGCCCACCAAGGCCTGCCTCTTGAGCAAGGGCGCAGGTGAAAGAAAGTTCTGGGAGATGCTCAAAGACCCTAAGAAAGAATGTTCCCTGAGATTCAAATGCTTATGGTGGGGGGTGGAGGTGGGGGTACAGCTCAGTTGCAGAGTGCTTGCCTTGAATGCCTAAGGCCCTGGGTTCAATTCCTAGACCTGGAAGAAAAAGTAGTCTACACAAAGAGGTGGGTCAGGGCCTGAAGATGAGTGGCACAGTGGGACAGTATGACCTGAGGCACACAGCCCTTTCCTGAGCGGCAGCTACTCCCGGCCTCCAAGCTCAAGGGTGGCCTGCAGTCATCAACCAGTCTGGTATCTTCCCCATGAGATCCTCCAGTGTTTCCATGCTGGCTCGCTTATTTCTAAAGTATTGTGTGACCCAGAGAACACACCTCTGCAGGCCACTTTTGGCTTCCAAACAAGCCATCTGTGACTGTTGACCTGGGGGTGATTGATTAGGTGCTGGCATAGGCAGGGGGGCTGGGAGGCCAGGGCTGGTAGGGACCCGAGTGCTAGTCCCAGCACTTGGACTCCAAAGCAGCACCTACTTAGTCACCACACTGATCTTCACCCCAAAGACGCCGGTCTGCTTTTTGGATGGGGTCCTCTTCAGGCTCATGTCCCGGCTGGTGAATTTCATGGAGAATTCCACTTTGATCTGGTTGGGGGATGAGTCAGGGCAGGCATTAGTCTCCTGAGGGTATAAGTGTCCATGGACTGCCCCCAAAACACAGGGGTTCCCCCCCCCAGGAGTGCAGCAGCCCCACCTCCCAGGGCTCCATCTCCATGCCCCCCCCAGGTAGGAGTGGGAGTGGGAAAGGCATAGGCAGAGGGGAGAGCCCCAGCTGGGCTAGGGGAGGGGGCGCCAGACACATCCTTTCCCCAGGAACTCACCCCATTCATCTCAATCACATCTGTGTGCCAGTTCTTGGTTTCTACAGTTTGTGGATCCAACTGCAGAGAGAAAAAGAAAGGGGCTATGTGGGGACAGCTCAGAAACCAAGTCAGTACTCTCCCTGCTAGGTGGCAACTGCTCACCAGCCAGCAATGGTTAGGAAAGCGGACCCTTGATGCTTGCCAGGCATGGTAGTGTACGCCTGAATTCCAGCAACTCAGGAGGCTGAGGCAGGAGGATCAGCCTCAGCAACTCAGCATGATCCTGTCTCAAAATAAAAAAATAAAAATGTCTGCCATGTGACTTAGTGGTAGAGCATCCCTGTGTTCAATTCCAATAAAATAATAATAATAATAATAATAATAATAATAATAATAATAATGCTCATCTTGAAATCAACCTTCAAACTTCAGGTGGCTCCAGCCCTCATGCCCCTCCCAGCTATGGCTGTTGAAGGACCTCCGGACCCTATGGAGGCGAGGATCCTCTATTCGTCACTTTTGCCCATCACATCACACTGACTCCTGGTCACCATGCTGGGAAATGGATTTTATCAGTCCGTTTCACAGATGCAGCAACTGAAGGTCACAAGAAGTAAATAACTTCCTTAGCCATTTGAGGTCAGAGTTGTCAGAGAAGATCTAGACCTTGGCCCGTGCATATCGGAACACCAAATGGGTTTGAATCTCAGCTCCGCAGCTTGCTATAGTGGAGCCTGGGCAAGTTTTTACCTTGCTAAGCTTCGTCTGTACAGGGCAGCCAGTACCAGAACCTGCCTCACTGGACTGTTGTGATGAGGTACAGATTAAGGGATTGGCTCCCAAACAGGCGAACTCTCTATAGGGAAGTCGCCAGACCTGGGCTGCAGCTCCAGGCAGGAGCAAGTGCCAGGAGAGGGTCGCTGATATCCCCCACTGGGACTGTTCAGAACTCCCTTCCTCTAATTCAGTGGCCTTCAAACTCAGTGGTTTGTGCACCCACAAAATAATTTTGAAAAACAATGTGCTCCGGAGCACATTTTTAAGTCATCTCAACATTTCTAAGGCAAGTTCAAATTGCTGCAAAGAATGTGATTTCCAGAATAATGTAAATATTGACAGCTTAAAATAAAACCATTACATCATGCTTTAAATGTATACAGTAGAATCTAATTACTGTAACGATTTGATACCCACCATCCTCCACTTAAAAACACATGAACAAGCTCTTTGTTCCCTTGCAGAATCGCTGTTCCATTTCTCCTTAAAGGGTTCCTCCTAGTTTATATTTTAATATTTTCAAACCTTTTACTCATTGCCATATTTTCATTTGCTCCCAAAATATACCTATACAATGAAATGAAAAATTTCCCGAGACCACAAGGCTCTGAATACATAAAACATATTCTGGACCTGTTATTACCATGATGAGCAGTGCACACTAATAAAAATAAACCAACACATCACACATTTTAATAAATACCAAGCAGCCAGGTTAACACTATGGTGGACTTTTATCTCTGAATGAGATAGACAGGACACCTCTCCTACATTGGGGCACAGATCTCTACAGATATTATTTTTTGCTAGAGTAAAATGGGGTTAGCACCGACTCTGTTCACATTTTTTTGTCTTTATTTTAAAGGATGCAAATGATAAACATTGTTCACTAGAGGAGGCTAAATAAGGTTATATTACAGCAGTGTTAAGCAAGTCTTTAATCTCTTTACATGTCATTTACCTTAAATTACTCATATATCTTTGATCAAACTTAAAAAAAAAATTTTGTAGGTGTAGTTGGGTAGAATGCTTTTATTTTATTTTATTTTTAATTTTTATGTGGTGCTGAGGATCGAACCTAGTGCCTCACACGTACTGGGCAAGTTTTCTGCCACTAAGATATAGCCCTAGCCCAAACTTTTTTTTTTTTTTTGGTACTGAGGAGTTGAGCCTGGGGCACTTTACCACTGACTTACATCCCCAGCCCCTTACTTTTTATTTTGAGATAGGTTCTCACTAAGTTGCTTAGGGCCTTGGTAAGTTGCTGAGGCTGGCCTGGAACTTGTGATCCTCCTGCTTCAGCCTCCTGAGTCACTGGGATTACAGGCATGCACTATTGTGTCTGGCTCAAACATCTTAAATGACTTCTCAGCCGATAATCAGGCCCTTGTCAGTGCAGTGGAAGGCAAAGAACTAGACAACACCTGGCTAGAAGGCTTTGTAACCAGCCATCGGAGTCTTTAGTTTTCTCAACACCTACTCTGATGTTTCTGTGGCCCCTCTATTGTCACCTCCAAGGTCTGGGTCAAGTCATCATAGGAGCCCGATCTTCAGGCCTTCCATCTACAGAGGGGAGAGCGATGGTGAAGTGCCCATTCTCAGGTGGGCGTTGAGGACCTGCAGCTGACTACCTTTGAGCTTTCCCTGCCCAGCCAGCCATTGGGACATCATTGCATACCCCAGAAACGAACCACTGCTCCGACGGGCCACCATCCTCACAGAGGGAAACTGGACCTGGGTGAGTCAAGTCCTTTTTTACCTTCTGTCTCCCACATACTGGCTGGGGACAGGGGGCACCCAAACCTCCTCTGGGGGTCAGAGGGCTGCACCCAGCTGGCCCTAGGCCTTGTGTCTGGGTCAGCTGTGGCCCAGGTCCCATCCTTAAAAGTCAGTTCTCTGACCAGAGGAAGGATGAAATTGAAAACGGGAAATGGAAAAAGGAGTGTGGGGGGAAGCCCAGGCCCCACGACCTCCTCAAACACAAAGGTAGTGTGAAGCAGCCAGCCTGCGGCTGCCCAGGCTCTCTGGTCCAGAAGGCTCGAGGCCAGGGGTCTGAGTGGGTCCCATCAGAAGCCCGATTTTGGCATCACTCTCCTGAAACCTGCCTCCCCGCTTAACTTCTTTTGTCCCCCAAATCCTGCCCGGACCTGAAGCACAGGTTGCTTCTTGCAGTTCCTTCCTCCCATCCAGACTGCTGGTTCTTCAACATAGGGTCCAAGTCTGCCCCCAGCTCTGTCCCCCAGCAGTGACCACAGGGAGTAGAGGGATCTCAGATGACAGGCAGATGTGTCCTTTGGGAGACACGTTCTGAACTGACCAGCCTCCCTCCTTTATTTTGCAGTGTTGGGGACCAAACCCAGCAGGTGCTCTACCAGTGAGCTACAGCCCCGGTCTGCGTCCAGCCCTTTGGAAGGCAAGTCTCTTCAGGTAGCAGCATACCCCTCAGCCAATTCCACCTGGCTGGATTCACCTCAAGCCATTCTCTTGCTCCGGTTTCAAGTGACCTGGCATTTCCTAGCAGCTGCTATGAACTGAGCCAGTGGTCCCTGCCTGAGTCCCAGAGTAGCATCTGGACACAGCAGGGGAAGGGCAGGATGGAGTTTCAGGCTGACCTGGGTCTTCTATTCCATTGTGTGCATCTGAGCAGGTCACTCAACCTCCTTGAACCTCAAATTCCTCGTGGGGGTATCTATGCCTACGTCTGATGAATTTTTCGTAAGTCTGGCACTAGAACAAACCCTTGACACATAGCATCTCAGTTCACTGTCATAAGAAACCTGTGAGGTTTAAGCCTTCATAGCTGTTCCCATTTTACAGATGAGGACACTGAGGCTTCAAGGAAGGAATCTGGCCAGTGCTGATTAGCTAGGGAATGAGAACTGGGATACAAAATCAGTTCTCCCTGACCTGCTCTTTCTGTTAAAGCTGCAAGATAATGAGCACTGTATCTAACCAGGCACCTGGGCCTGCAGGCGACAATAGCACCTGCCATCACCTGAATTTATTCAGAAAGGAGACATGAGGCCTCCTGGCACAGGGTCTGGTGCCTGGCAGGTTGCCTCAAGCACAAATCCCATTTCTCCCCTCCCCATCAGGTGGTTCTGTTTTGGGACAGCATGTGAGGTAGGATAAGCAACTCCTGACGCTAAGGCCTGACTCTAGCCTCTCTCTTTCAGAAAGCCCTCCCAGAGAACCCCAGGCCACTGGAATCCTGGTTCTTCTCTGCCACATGAAGAGCCTGCCTCCTCCATTTGCTGTGATTTCACATACCTCAGCCTTTCTGAAGCTAGCCCTGAGTAAGGCGTCCCTTTCTGGTTTGCTGTGAGTCCCCACCACTGCCATCTTCCTGATCCCCGCTGCAGGTGTGGTCCTGGTACCTGCCCAGGAAGGCCTGCCCAGCCCCTGAGTGCCCTGACAATGATGCTCAGACTCCCAGGAGGCCAGCAGCCTTCAGAGACCAAGTCTATTTCAGGATGTCATTTAAATACAGAGAAGGGAGGGTGGGGAGCGGAGAGGGACATGGCACATTTTCCAGAGAAATGATGCTGCCTGAATCGCTGTGACTATTTATAACCCCTGGGAAATGTGGACTCTGCTATTTCCTGATTAGATTAGTGCTTGGGGTGGAGAAGCCAGCCCCTGGGATATCAGTGAAGGGGAACACCTGAGTGTTCACCCCCTAATCCCACTAGACAGGGGCCATCCATGGGCCCTGGGGAGCAAATACCTGGGGGACAACAGATCACCTGAAAGAGACAGATGGGGCTTGCAAAGAGTCAGGCTGGGGAGACCCACCAAGGCCCCTCTTCACACCACAGGTAATGCATATGCAGTGTGTTCCCCTTGAGTGGGCACAGGCAGGAGACAGAAATGGGCCACAAAATACCTTGGAGAAAGTTATTAAGGGCTGGACGTCACTAAGGGCAACCCAGTCATGTTCTTTTAGTCTTTGCCTTTAGCCATGGTTGAATCTTGGCCACACATTCTGACCCGTCCCAAAGAGAAAAACAGCTGACCTTTAGGATTGGTGTCTGGGAGAGCACCAGGTCCCCTGCAAAAGATCCCAGGCCTCTGCTGGAATATTGCAGGAGTCGGGAAAGGCTGCCTCCGCTTTTTAGACCAAACTGGCCCTCCATTTAGAACAAGAAGCACCAAAGCAGATTTGCAGTAGGGGCAGGAGGACCCGAGACTCCGGACGTGAGTGCCTCCAGGGCTGTTTCAGTAATGTCCTAGGGGCTCCCTAGTTTAGCCCTTCCTCCCAGTCCCAGGCAGGGGACTCCATCACTGTCCTTGCCTCACCC